CAGACATATAACAGCATTTTTTTTGGATTTGCTTATGCTGTGAAAAACCTGGGCCAAGCTGCTCACCAGGTGCGTTTGGAACCTCAGACAGGGGGTTGCGTGTTGAGACCCCGCAGCCACCCCCTCGTTGGAAATAACTCACACAAGATATTAGGTTTATGTTATTGGGCAAATTTTGGCCACAGCTTTATTGAATTACAGACTGTGAGCGGTATTGACTTAGGCATTGATTGGACCTGACTATATCTGACTCCTGCCCGTTGTGCAGGAAGTCCGGTAAGGGTAAGCCACCGGTAGGGAGAGCCCTGTCGATGCAAACCAACCCAAGCTCCCCCTGGTGTTCCCGTTGGGGCTGTGTCAAGGCTCTAGCCCCCAGCCAGGCTTCGGACAAGATAAACACCCCCAGATTCCTTTAACGGAATCCACCCCTCCCCTCCCCCACACAAGGTCAAACAATGCCTAACCGCAACCCTAACAAAGTTGTGACGATTGCTACAAGGTAGGCGAAAACCAAATGGCCAGTGCCAATTTTCCAAGTGGAAAAATTCCTACCAGGCCCCTCAGACAACCAAGGCGACCAACCGAAGTCCATAGCAAGGTCATTGCCTAACCTGCAAAATAGGGAGGGAGGGAGGGTGATTGAGGAAGCGAGCCAAAGAGGAAGTCCTCTGGTTCGCTCCTCAGTTTAAACGGCCCCGGCTACACACCCCCAGCCAGCGGATTGGCTGGCTGGGCTCTGACATGGCCAGGATCCCCCGGCAATGGGGAACAAAGTCCCCCACCCCCAGTGGGAAGTGGGTGGCCACGCGGTCCACTGCAACTCCTCCCCACTGGGAAGTGGAATGGATTTATGGAAGCAGCTGTGGGGAGGGAGTGTGGGAAATGGCATGCTGGGTTGGGGTTAAGCACCTCCCCCTAGCTGCTTTTCTCCTCCAAACAGTCTCCTCCAGATATTGCCCAGTCCTAGTGTGGGACTTTACACCTCAATAGACACATATATGATTGTGAGGTAAAGTTGTAGTCCTGACCACACTTAATCACACAGTACTGAACACAGAAGCTGTTGCTTCTTTTCCAAGCCGACATGCTTAAGACTGTGCTGCAAAAAGGGTTTTAAAACTGATTAATCTAAGAGATTAATCAACTAAACATCGCAGCCTCATTAGCAATCCTCTCACGAGAGAATGAACAAGGGACTCTTGCATCTCGACATCAACCTTCCCTCCAGGAGTGGAAGCGACAGCAAACAAGGACTAATGAGGCCAGAATGACTGCGTGGATGAATCTTGGGAACCAACGTGCATCCGCAATGCTTCATGGTTTACTAACTCCCAGCTAGAACCTCCAAACATCTGTGCAGCATAAAAGAAGGCAGAAACCTATCAAATCCTATTAGAGGCTCAAGATCTATTAACAATGTGGCCTTATTTTCTTAATAAAAAAGGTAAATGGTGATTTGCTATTGTTGTTGCGCACGCCTGCATAGCAAAAGAAAGACATTTCTAGTGTTTGTTCAGTGCTATCCAAAAATGTAAAGGTAAAGGACCCCTGGACGGTTAAGTCCAGTCAAAGGCGACTATGGGGTGTGGCACTCATCTCACTTTTCAGGCCAAGGGAGCCAGCGTTTGTCCGCAGACTGCTTTCCGGGTCATGTGGCCAACAGGACAAAACCACTTCTGGCTCAACGGAACACTGTGACAGAAACCAGAGCGCACGGAAACACCGTTTACCTTCCCCGCCACAGCGGTACCTATTTATCTACTTGCACTGGTGTGCTTTCGAACTGCTAGGTTGGCAGAAGCTGGGACAGAGCAACGGGAGCTCATCGTCGTCGTGGGGATTCGAACCGCCGACCTTCTGATCGGCAAGCCCAAGAGGCTCAGTGGTTTAGACCACTGCACCACCCATGTCCCGCTATCCAAAGTAGGACTTCCATATAGGAAGACACTGCACTCTGCAGCAAGAACATTTGATAATGGGAGCATGAATAAATCTGAGAATTTAGTTTTGGCTTTTAGGGAAAATAGTTTCCAGTTCCCATGCTTGTAAAGACATGCTTAAGGTGACTGGGTGATGTTGAGCAATGATATCTCAGAAGCTGGAGGGTGAGCTGAGCAGGATATCCACCCAACTGTCCAATGGTGGGACAATAGAGTCCTACACAAGCATTTTGCCCCACCCTCTGATTGACTAAAAGAAGCAAACAGTGTGCCAAGACCCCGTGACCTGCAGTTCCCTGGGGGATGAATCCACAGAGACCAACAGTATTTGATTTATGGATTCAAATAGGCCACAACTTCACTAGTTACAGATGAGAGTGGTTTGGGACAGGAATTGGGTGAAGCCAGACTATATCACTCCAGTCCATTTGCTGGGAGTTGCATCTAAGGGCAATCTGTCATTTGGAGGAGCCCTATGAGCTACATCAAATAGGGTTACTCCCGGAGGGGTCCCCATTGGGGGGGTGGTATGGCCCTAGCCTCCATCAGGGCATCGGAGAGAAGCCACTCCCCCTCGATCCCTTTAACTGTGGGATGTAAGAATCAGGTGCAATCAAACAAAACATGGCTAGAGTAGACATGAAGGTTATCTCAGTCCTCCAGCCGGAACTTCCTGCTTTCCAGGACTGAGACGAAACTTCCTATGTGTAACTTGAGATGGGCATGGCCTCTCCTGAAGGAGAAAGAACCAGAACCACAGGCTAGCGACCATCTTGTCTCTATCAATGCCATCTTAACAACAGCACTACTAAGATGCACCCTTGACTCCAGGCCAAGAGAAGAAAAGGGGGGCTTTCTCCCATAAGGAGATAGTCACCACATTTAAACTATGTTCTAACAGATGATTACTTGTGAGCAAACATTTTATACTTTACGGAAGACTGTGTAGTGTCTTATTTTAGGAGGGATTAAACGGGGGAAATACCAGGAAATATTTACAGAGACTCTGACAAGTCTGAGCAAGCTATCTGCTGTCCGTGTGTTTTAAATAAAAGGGGAATGTTAACTCTGCTGATTTTGTTGAACTTGTAAAGACAAGGTGGGATAGGGTATCTTAGACAATATATCCTCCCCCGTATCCCTAAACATTCCCACATTAACAGGATACCCTTAATGAGGAGGGGCAGGCGAAGGCTACAACCTCCCCTCCAGCCAAACAAAGGCTTACCCAATGCCTAACCTCACAAAGTTGTGACGATTGTTATGAAGTAGGCGAAAACCAAATGTCTGGTGCCAATTTGCCAAGGCTAGCCACCTCTGCCCTATGAAAAGATCATCATGGTCCTTCTGCTGCCAATCTTGCCCCTGCAACTTAGAGCTACAGAGAACTCTTGGGTGTGCCTTAGAAAGCACCATCAGATTACAGGGAGGGAGGCCCAACACATTCTGATTCAAGTGTTCACCCTATAATAAACCCACGGAATAACATTTTGCAGCACGGAGGAGTTCCATGGTGGTTCCTCAGGGTCTCCTCAGCAGCTAAGTCAACATGGTTCCATGGCAGACCTACATTTCTGGGGCCCTGAAGCTTGAACTGTCATGGGAGCCCCTTCACTACCAGCAATGGGGTCTGGGTAACCACTGTTATCTTCTTCAATGGGGTTGTTCCATGACCGATCACTACACCTTAACAACATCTGTGCTACTGACTCTCAGACTTTGGGACTGTTGAAAATATATACAACAAAAAGTTGCTGTGACTCAAATTGGGTCTACTAGACCAGGAGGCATAGCATGGCGAGGCCAGGGGGCCGTGGCCCCGGGCACACATTTTTGAGGGGGTGCAATCAGGCACGGAGCCCTGGCAGCTGAATCATGGCAGCAGGCGGGCTGGTTTAGTAGGCAGGTGGATTGAGGCAGCGGGCGAGGAGCCTGATGGAGGCAAGCTCTGTTCATCCTCTGCATGTGTCCCCACCCCAGCTGCCCAGTCCACCAGGAGGGGTGCAACATTTTCCTCACACCAGGCATCAGCAACCCATGCTACACCACTGACTAAACCCAATATTTTTAAGCAGTGTGTACTAAAGTCACTTCTGAGACCCTCCAGGATTAGGAGCCCTGAAGCTTAAGATTCATTAGTTTCACTGTAAACCAAGCATGCAAATAATGATAAGGATGATGATGATGATATAATTTATATCCTGCCCATCTGGCTGGGTTGCCCCAGCCACATGTCAGTGTTGAAGTGCTAGATGAGGATGCAAGTTCATGGAAACAGTAAGCTCCTGCTTATTACAGGGGATTGATCTTGCCCCCTATAGTGCAATCTCTCCTGCTGGTTTTTTACCTTATGTAGATGCCAGCCAGCGAATGGGCTCCTCTTCTCGTGCCATATCCGGATCTTGTACAAATTGCCCAGATCTGGGAGCTCAATCTGCAGGAAACATGGGTAAAACACATCAGTGGTGGCATTTTTCTACTACATGCACAATCTGGGGGAAGATCAGGCCACCGGGGAAAATAAAACTGGAGATGCACAAGAACAGCAAAATCCATTGGGGGCCTTTTCTGTGCAAGTTCTGGTGGAGCCAAAAGCTTGTTGCACAAGAACAGTGCTCTTGCACAACGTCCTTCCGTATCAATGGCACTTGCAAAAAAGAAAGAGGCTTGTTGCAGCTGCAAGATTCTTGCGGTGATCAAGAGGCTGGATTAAGTGATCCACCTGTAAAATATGTTTGGGGTGAAGGGCCTTTCTAGGCAACCTTCTGTGGCCACATGCAAAAGTGGGTGGAGCCAGGCAAAACTGCTCAAGGACAGTGCAAATCTGGGGCAGTGAGAGATGTGGCCTGGAGAGAGAGGGTTTGGTCTAGGAGCAGTCCTGGGGGCCTGTGGAAGAGGCATGGAGGGCCGTATTTGGCCCCCAAGCACGATGTTCCCCATCCCTCATGTAAATTGTGGGATTTGCTCGCACAAGTCATAGTCATGGCCACCAACTTGGACAGATTTCCAAGAGGACTTGATGGGTCCTCTTGGTCCAGCAGGGCATTTCCTAGGTTGGGAAGGGATGTAGCTCAGCAGTACAGCATCTGCTTTGAATGCAGAAAGTCCCAGGTTCAAGTCCCGGCATCTCCAGGTAGACACAGGAGGAACCCCTGCCTGAAACCCTGGGGAGGGACAGCCAGTCAGAGTAGAGAATACTAAGCTAAATGGACCAGTGGTCTGACTCATTATAAGGCAGCTTTCCATGTCCCACTTTAAAATTAGTAAAGGTAAAGGGACCCCTTACCATTAGGTCCAGTCGTGGCCGACTCTGGGGTTGCGGCGCTCATCTCACTTTATTGGCCGAGGGAGCCGGCGTACAGCTTCCGGGTCATGTGGCCAGCACGACTAAGCCGCTTCTGGCGAACCAGAGCAGCGCACGGAAATGCCGTTTACCTTCCCGCTGGAGCGGTACCTATTTATCTACTTGCACTGGCATGCTTTTGAACTGCTAGGTTGGCAGGAGCAGGGACCGAGCAACGGAAGCTCACCCTGCCGCAGGGATTCAAACCGCCGACCTTCTGATCAGCAAGTCCTAGGCTCTGTGGTTTAACCCACAGCGCCACCCACGTCCCTACTTTAAAATTATGTGATGCTGATTTTCCAGTTGATCGCACTGACTGCATCATGAAAACAAACACTGCTCTCTAAACACATCTTGCTTCGCCAAGAACATGGGTATGCAAACTAAGGCCCGGGGGCTGGATCTGGCCCAATCACCTTCTCAATCTGGCCCACGGACGGTCTGAGAATCAGTGTATTTTTACATGAGCAGAATGTGTGCTTTTATTTAAAATGCATCTCTGGGTTATTTGTGGGGCATGGGAATTTGTTCATTTTTTTCTTCAATATATAGTCTGGCCCCCCACAAGGTCTGAGGGACAGTGGAACGGCCCCCTGCTGAAAAAGTTTGCTGACCCCTGCCTAAGAAGGTCAGAAGCTAAACAAATCCTGGTAGCTAAGTCTGTGTATGTGATCTGAGCAGAGCTTTCCCCAGAGATGTGCTGATCTGATGTGCGTTGATCCCTAGCCATAGAGTAAACTAGAAGAATGCTGGGGTCAGTGCGTATGGCACAGGAAAGTCTACTCAGGAAGACAGATGAATCGAACTGCATGTAGTGAAGCACTTTCTGATTTGAATGCTAGGCTTCAAAGTACCAAGAGCAAGGCTAGCTCCTAGTTGGGTTAATTTAGGGTATTGTGAAAATCAGGAAGCAGGGGGAGAAAAATGGAGTACGCATACATCTCTGTAGTGAATTAATTATAAGGTTCTCTTTTGCAAGCTACGGTCAATGTTAAAACATGGGTCACACTACATAACATAGGGAAAGCATTAACGGAACCGTTTGTATGCCTGGCAGGGAGAGGGGAGATCTTGCGAACCCTTCACATTTTGCAGTAGGTTACATGTAGTCAATGCTGACGTTGGTACAGTTAACGTTCTGTCACTGGGCAGTATGAGTTTGGAGACTGACTGGAGGTCAGGAGAGAAGAGAGAAGGGGCAGGATTCTTCTCTGGTTCAGATTAAATCTGAACCGGAGAAGAACGCGGGCATCATAATTTTCACCTTGTATTTAAGGGAAGAATTTGTCACACGTTCAGCATTCTGAGTCAATGAAGCGCCAACATAGTTGACATCTCCAATAAGTTTGCTATTTGCTTCCTTTTATAAGGGCTATTAAACCCTTTCACATAAACCACAAGGAATTGACTGGCTATTCTTCTGTGCCATTTAACCAGCACTAACTGCAAACAGGAAGTGTTTGGGCTGATTCCCAGGTTAACAGGGCAGTAAACACAAGTCTGTGTTTGGAGCACAGCACACATGGCGGAGAGGAAGGCATACCATGAATTTGTCTGTTTGTCCAGCTTCAAAGTTATCAGAGTTATTGTCCAGCTTCATTTCGTCGGACTTTCCTTTGTCACCGTAAACCTGGAGGAAGATGGGGGCGTCTGTCCCTGCGCCCTTAATATCACTTGTCCATATCCACAGGGACCAAGGGTTTTCTTATAAAACAAAAGGTTCTGAATCAGTGAATTAGAATAGTGAAAGCTGGTGATAAAGGAAAAACAAAGAAGGAAACCAAACCAAAGAACCAGAGATGAATAGAGAGGTTCTTTTTTTATAAAGCACGTGCCCAGGGCCTTGAACACCAGTTCTGTTGTGCAGATGTTCAACAGGGAAATCTCTTCTCATAGCCTGGAGATGAAGCAATGTGAATCGCTTTGCAAACGATCCATAAAAACCTTCTCTTCCATTTCAGCTCAACATCGCACTCATGCTAGCCCCGATCCATTGCTTCCACTTGCGTATGTGAATTTCCCTTGCCTCCCAAGAGCAAAAGGGTCTGAACTCATGCAACACGGCACTTTCACAAAGTAGACTGTAATGTTGTGCGTATGGACCTGGGAGCAAGTGTGCAGTCAGGTAACTGGTGAGTTAAGACACAGGACTTAATGGTCTCATTGCAGAGGGTGGACATGCCTTTACATAGTAATGTGGGTGACTTCAAAATGTGAAAATCCAGTCCTGCTGTGTTTAGGGTCCCTCCCATTCATTTTTCCTGAGTAGGGCCCTGATCTTCTACCTCAAAATCCCACCCAAACGCCAAGACTGCCAGCAGACAGCCAGTGTCAAACCCTGGCTCAGCTATAAAGCTCTCTGAGGAACACTCCTCACTAAGGTGTCAACCGGGGTCTGGTCTTTACTACTTAAGGCTTACAAAATGGAATGTTTCTCCATAGGAAAAAAAGGAGAGAAATCCTTGCATATACAGTGGTACCTCGGGTTACATACACTTCAGGTTACAGATTCCGCTAACCCAGAAATAGTACCTTGGGTTAAGAACTTTGCTTCAGGATGAGAACAGAAATCGCGCTCTGGTGGCACAGCAGCAGCAGGAGGCCCCATTAGCTAAAGTGGTGCTTCAGGTTAAGAACAGTTTCAGGTTAAGAACGGACCTCCGGAACGAATTAAGTACTTAACCCGAGGTACCACTGTATAGTGTGTCAGGCACAGGGTTTTTTTCTAGGAAAAGAGGTGCTGGAAATTGCTGCCCTTTTTTTAGGGGAGAGCATCCAGCCAAAAGGGAGATCGCTCCTTCTCTTCTAACACCAATGCATAATAATAATAATAATAATAATAATAGGCTGGAAGGACCCTGAAATGGTGGTACAGTCCCTACCTCATAGGGTTATTGTGAGGAGAAAGGATAGTCCATATACATCACCCTGAGGCAGGCACCCCCAAACTCGGCCCTCCAGATGTTTTTGGGACTACAACTCCCATCATCCCTAGCTAACAGGACCAGTGGTCAGGGATGATGGGAATTGTAGTCCCAAAACATCTGGAGGGCTGAGTTTAAGGATGCCTGCCCTGAGGTCACCGGAGAAAAGTTGCAGATGGGCACAGCTGTGATGACGGGCAACAACTGTGCAAATATTCAGCACCCTTCATGGCAACACACCACCGGTTTGAGGAAAAATCCTGAGCCTCTCAACAAGAAAGCATATCCTTTCCGAAGCAGGCGAGGCAGATGACAATGCAAGTTTATCCCGTTGTATGGCAGCGAAAGGTCACCAATTACTCAAGGGCACTGCTTCCTCCCCGTTTAATATACAACATCCACAAAGGGATTACGCTGTCAATAGCAGTCAGGGTCAATAATATGGCAGTTTAAAGGTCATAAATGCTTTCGCAGAATGGACTGCGCTGCAGAGATAAAGTGGCTGTCACATTAAGCGATGTTCGCTGTAATGAGCGCGGCTGCAATGGAATCGCTCCTTAAACGGGACAAACTGTTCGTCACAGAGGCGTCTTGATCATGCAGCCCCTTAACTAATTTTATAAGCATTCATTGCACTGATATGATGGGCACTGGAGGAGGGACAATGTAAATTCTCCCCGCCAGTTATGAACCTTATGCAGCAATTTGTCCCCAAAGGATCTGGAGGACAGCAGACACCCTGGAGCCAGCGGGGATTGAGAACATACCTGGAATCTACTATTTAACAGGTTGGGCGCTCTAGCACTGATGGCTATCACTACCTCATGTGGCAGAGAGTGCCATAGTTTAACTACATGAGGCGTGAAGAAGTACCGTATTTTTCGCTCTATAGGACGCACTTTTTCCCCTCCAAAAATGAAGGGGGAAAGTGTGTGCATCCTATGGAGCGAATGCAGGCTTTTGTTGAAGCCTGGAGAGCGAGAGGTGTCGGTGCGCACTGACCACTCTCGCTCTCCAGGCTTCAGGAAGCTATCCGCAAGCCTTCGGATGTGCGGTGGGAGTTCCCGCCAGGCTCCGAAGGCTTGCGGATAGCAGCCTGAAGCCTGAAAGCCGGGGAGCACAGTGCCAAATCCCGCTGCACTCCCCGGGCTTCAGGCAGCTATCCGCAAACCTTTGGAGCGCTCCCCCAGCCCCACAAGCTCCGGGAGCGGCGGTAAGGCTGCGCGCAACCCTGCCGCCGCTCCCGGACCTGTTCTGGGGGCTGGGGTCGGGGGAAGCTCAGGCTTCCCCCGCCCCAGCCCCGCGGCTAAAAACGAAGCCAAGACAGCGGTGGGATCCATCCCGCTCGCTGTCTTGGCTTCTGCCAAAGCAGCGCACAGCCTCTACCGGCTGGAGAGGTTGTGCGTAAAGAGGAAGCCAAGACAGCCAGCGGGATGGATCCCGCTCACTGTCTTGGCTTCTTTGCTCTTTGGGGCTGGGGGGGGGAAATAACTTTTTTCCTTTATTTCCCCCCCTAAAAACTAGTTGCACCCTATGGTCTGGTGCACCCTATGGAGTGAAAAATACGGTATTTTCTTTTATATGTCCTGAATCTTGCAACATCCAGCTTCCTGAGATGTTCACATGTTCTAGTGCCATGGAAGGGGGAGAAAACCTTTTCTCTCTCCACTTCCTCCATGTCACACGTGATTTTATAAAGTCGTAGCTTGTCAACTCTTACTCACATTTTCTCTAAACTAAAAAGGCCATTTTTTGACCTTTTTTTGACTCAGACCAGTGGCTTGCAGTGCTCTCGGTGCTTATTTTCCCCCCTCATGTAAAAAATTGGAGGTGCCAGTACTCCCATATTGACAACAGTGCTGTGG